GCCCGATGGACATTTGGGGCTGGAAAATTCTTTGTTCTGGGGGCTGTCGTGCACATTGTAGGTTGTTTAGCAGCATCCCTGGCCTCTAAGCACTAGATGCCAGTAGCACTCTACTCCCCAAGTTGTGACAACCAAAAATGTCTCCAGACATTGCCAGATGTCCCCCAGGGGGACAGAATCATCCCAGTTGAGAATCACTGACTTAGACTAACTCAAGTTGGTTTCTCTTTTTTGCAGTGAAAGAGTCTTAACCGCCCTCATACACCCCAACGTCTCTGGAAGACATGATTCTTTTACTCAGAGGATCTCAAAATTGGAAGAGCAGTAACTTCTACTTCTGTTAAACGCCAGCTACATTTAGATGGCTTCCCGTCTGTGGATGACATTCACACCAATTCTTGCCAGGGATCCAAAGGGTCATGGTTCTCAAGGAGGAGCAAGCGCTGCTGCCCTGAAACGGGAAACAGTCCTGATATGAGAAGACTTAGAGTGGCAGCTTCCCTCCATAACCAGGAGGGTCTGGCATCAGTCTTATAGCCGTAGATGCCCATTTCATGGCCTTCCTCATGCCTCCCTATAGAGTTGACTGGGCTTCTTGCCAAGCTTCTTCCCTGGGGCTCCTTTTCTGGCCCAGCTTCAGGCCTGGTTTGTAGGGTGAAGAGTGACCTCACAGAACTGTGTTGGCCCAACTGAAGCCACCCTTTGTGACTTCACCCATACTTCCCAGCCCTTGCTCTACCAGAGCTGGACCTTCCACCTCCTCCCCAGAGGTTCAGTCACTCAAGTCCCAGAATGCCTTGCAGCCCATTCTGTCTGCAATGCCAATCTGAGTAGCATTTAACCTGAGGGAAAGTAGTAAGTGGATTAGCTAGACTGTTCCCGGAAAATTCATGTTGACCATCGAAGACTGCCATCATTCTAGGGGTTCATAAATTATGTATCCATCGTATCCTAGTATTTTGTGGATTATTGAATTCAAGTTCACCAGTTCTCAGATTTCAGGATTTGTTTCTTTATCTTTCTGAAAATCAAGCTAATACTTTCTTGCCTTCTGTTGATGGCACTTCGACATTTCCTTAAAAATTACAAAAAGAGGCATCGTGATCCATGCCGTGGGTTGTAACCCAGGTAGACCTACGGACCAAAGTCTTGTGAATCAGCAGGGTATGTACAAGTCAACCAAGATGTGAAATAAAAGGATGCTTGGGTAGCATTGTTCATAACAAAGTGAAAACAACCAAATATCTGTCATAGGGGATTGGGATATAAATTACAGTCACAATCAGAGTAGCAGTGGTGACAGCAACAACTAATATGTGTTGAGGGCTTAACATGTGCCAAGAAATGTTGAAGAACCTGTGTTATTCCTTTTAGGCTTACAACAATCATATCTGAGGACAAAACAATTTCTACTCCAGTTTTACAGATGGAGAAACTGAGGAACCAAATTAAATAACTAGCCAAGGTCAAACTGTTAGTGACTGTCGAAGATGCCAAGCTTCAACTTGTATTGGCTCTGCTACCCTTTCCATTTCACGTACCTGCCAGTGGGAAACAAATTAGACCCTGGCCTGCAATGGAGTGGCAGAGCAAGACTGGTTGTCTGAGGATTTTGTAAGTCACAGGAAAACTTATACAGTTCATGTAATGATAGGTCTGATTGATACACTTCATTTATAACATTAAAATGTGATTTCCAGGGCCGGCCCTGTGGCTTGGTGGTTAAGTGCACGCGCTGCGATGCTGGTGGCCCGGGTTCGGATCCCGGGTGCGCATCGAGGTACCACTTCTCCGTCCATCCTGAGGCCGAGTCCCACATACAGCAACTAGAAGGATGTGCAGCTATGACATACAACTGTCTACTGGGGCTTTGGGGGGAAAAAATAAAATAAATAAAATCTTTAAAAAAAAAAAAAAATGTGATTTCCATTTTCTACCACAAGCTAATACAAATGAACCCTGAATGTTTTTTGTGGCTTCTGAAGTAGAAATTTACATTCCAGAAGCTCTGACTTAGCACAGGATGAATATCCCAGGAAGAAGTCCGGATTGTACAGCTCAGGAGGAGCCTGGGAATATCAACTCATCAAGCTTCATGAAAAACTGCAGTGGAGGGCTGGCCCCGTGGCTTGGTGGTTAAGTGCACACGCTCCGCTGCTGGCGGCCCGGGTTCGGATCCCGGGCGCGCACCGACGCACCGCTTCTCCGGCCACGCTGAGGCCGCGTCCCACATACAGCAACTAGAAGGAAGTGCAGCTATGACATACAACTATCTACTGGGGCTATGGGGGGAAATAAAATAAATAAATAAAATCTTTAAAAAAAAAAAAAAACTGCAGTGGACACCACTGTGTGTTCCCCATAATATGTTTTTTTCTCCTGGGCACATAGTTGGACTAAATTTCCCAGCCATATAACTGGTACCAGTCACTGTTAAGTGAGCAGAAATCCTGCACACCACTTCTAGGCTGGCCTATGATGCATCCCACAAGTGATGCTCCATACTCCTTTCACTTCTGACTAGATGCAGTCAGGCCCAGAGAACTTTCCGTCTACCTATGGAGGAATGCGGCTGCAAGACAGAAGGATCCAAAGTCCCTGAGCTTGGAGGACACAACATGAGTAAGAAATAGACCTATATTGTGTGAAGTCACTGTTGTTTTATCTTTTGTCACAGCAACCAATGCTCCCTAAATGAACACAAAACTCTTGTGGGTTTTGGTTGGAATTATATTAAATGAAGGAGAAGTGCTAGTTTACAACATTGAGTCATCTTTCTCATGAACATAGTCTACATCTCTATTGATTAACCTGCCTTTCATGACTTTAAAATAAGATTCATTTTTTCCCCGTGAAAGTCTTGCACATCTTCTTTCAGATTTATTCCTTGGACCACTATTGGTTTTCTTACCATTGTAAATAGCATTTTCTTTTAGAGTCACATTTTTAAAAAAGTTGTCACTGGTGTATAGGAATGCAACTGGGTTTTGTTTTTAAACATCTTTGTTGAGATATAATTTGTACACCATAAAATTCACTCATTTAAGGTGTACATTTTGAGGAGTTTTAGTAAATTTATATAACTGTAGGACCATGACCACAATCCAGTTTTAGCAGATGACTGTCAGCCTGAAATGTTCCCTAGTGCCCATTTGTGTTCATTCCCTACTCCTACTCCTAGCACCAGTCAAACACTGCTCTTTTTCTGTCTCTATAGTGCTGCCATTTCTAGAAAACTCCTATAAATCGAATCATGACTATGTAGTCTTCTCTTGAATTTTCTACATAATCATATTGCCTCTGAAAAGTTACAGTTTGTTGCTTCCTTTCCAGTCTTTTTACCTTTAATTTCTTTTCATCTTCTATTTGTTTAGTGTTTACTCTTAAGATTTTTACATACTCACTTAGATTTTAAGTTAATCAATGACTCAGAATAAGCAAGGACATTAAAAAGCTTTAGCCCTAATTATTCTCTCCTACCTTCCATGTTATATGTGAACTCCATAATATAGACATTTAAAAATTATAATCAGTGCTGGTTTAGATTTACCCCCGTGCTTACCAATTTCTTTATCATTGCTTCTGGATCCAACTCCTTCACTCTGGGTCCAATTACTTTCTTCTCAAAGTGTCTCCTTTTGTAAGTTATTTCTCTGAAAATGTCCTCATTTTCTCCTCATTCTTGAGTGATGGGTTAGTAGATATGGAATTACTGGTCTAATTGTAGATCCTTTATCATTAATTTCTATTTTCTCTCTGGTTCCCTTTAAGAATTTTTCTTTGTATCTGAAGTTTCCGCATTTTCACTATGATACATCTAGGTGCGAATCTATGTTTATCCTACTCAAGACTCAATGTACTTTCTTAATCTGAGGATTCATATCTTTCACTAATTCTGGAAAAATTTCAACCTTACTTCAAATATTTTCTTTTTCACAATCTATTATTATTCCACTGAAATGCCTTGAGACATACATTGGGCCTTCTCACTCTAGCCTCCATACCTCTTACATGCTCTATCACGTTTTCAGTTTCTTTGTCTTTCATGCCGTGTTTCAGGCAATTTCTTCAGATTTATCTTCCACGTACCCCAATTTTCTCTCATCAGCTTTATCTATGCAGCTATCTAATCCTACCGTGGAGTTTTATACTTCAAAAATGACATTTTTCATCGATATTGCCAAATGTCCCCTGAGGGAGTTAAGTACAATCACCCCCAGTAGACCCTTGAGTTAAAGGTAGCCAAAGACACAGGCAAAAGGATGTTATGGTACATTGAGCCTATGCAGTTTTGTTTGATAAACAGTTTTCCTCAAAACTCTCTCAACATACTGTGGCGTCCGTTAGCCAGGATCATTAACTACCTTTAACCCAGTGGTTCTCAATGGGGAGCAATTTTGCCCCCCAGAGGGTATTGGGAAATGTCTGGAGACAGTTTTTGGTCTCTGCTTGGGGGAGAGAGAAGTGCTACTGGCATCTAGTGGGTAGAGGCCACAGATGCTGCTTAACCTCTTACAACACACAGCACAGCTCCCACCCCCAGAGAACCCAGCCCAAAATGTCAAGAGTGCCAAGGTTGAGAAACCCTGCTCTAACCTAACCAATTATAGTGTCTTAAAGATCTCTAAGCTCTAAACCTGATTATTTTCCTGTGTGCGTATGTGACGTTATTTATAACCTCTCATTCAGCCTAGAGTTAGTTGTGTCCATTGATGCTGTACCTGTATGCTTTCATTATACTGGTATTTCTTCCTGTCTTTGATTTTTCACGCTGTATGTACAGAACATGTTTGTCGACAGATTTCAGGAAGTGAAAAGCTTGAAAGGAAGGAATAGGTTTGCAGAATAGAGCAAGAGAGGGGAATATGAGCTTCAGACACACTCTGAAAAACCAAATATGTTTTATTTTAAATGAGTAGGTGTATTCGACAATACGATGTGTATGTAGGAAATTTCTTCAAGAAAACTTTGCCAGCCACTCCAAAGGGTAGGCCCTTCCTTCACACCTTTTGTTTTGAATGTTCGGCCACAGCCATGGGTTTCTCCCGATTCCAGTGTTTTAGTGAACGCGTTTCACAGAAGAACATGGCGGCACTTGTTAGCGAGAGGGTGGCAGTTACAATTCCTAGTGGGAACACATAGGAGAGGTGTTTCTTCCTTAGCATCTCTTTTTCAACAGGAAAGCTAAGTGGGAAGTCAAGGGTGGTTTCGCCATAAAAATCCACGGTGAAATTCCAGCTCACTGTAACCATGGTACAACTAGAGCTGAGGAAAAGGAAGAAGGCAGAAATGTTGTAACACGATTGGAGGAAATCTGGGTATGGGCCGTTGATACAGCTTATAAAAAGTGCCAGTGAGCCAAAAACCAGGGCTACTGATTTCATAAAATTTGCCAACAATATCAGGTCCTGACCATACTGGATTTCATCTGAAATGACCCAGCTCCCGTTGATCCTGCAGTGCATCGGCACCTCAGCCATTGAGCCAGAGATGTTAGATGTTTGAGAAAAGAAAACGTCCCAAAGTCCAATGAACACAATGGGAACAACATCGCTGTTAAACTCCCACACGCGCCAAGATCTGCTGCAGGCTAGGCCTATGCCAAGAGCCCAGGACAAATAACTGAAAAAGAGGCACACCAGTTTGAAGGAGAAGTTCTTCCATTGAAGTTGACTGAAGAGGAGGCAGAGGCATCATGAAGTCAAGCCAGGAACACCAAAGAGAAAAAATAAACAGAATGAATGAGCCACAGTTTTGAAAGTGCTAAATATTTACGTCTTGTCCTTCTTGTCTAGAAGTTATATTTCAGTGTTCTATATATGTATTGGCCTTCAATTAGTGTACTAAATATTTTATGCAAGAATAAAAGAAGCCTAGAAATCCATGATCGTGGTGGGAGTATTAATTTGCAAGGCATTGTGGGAACACAATTTGACAACATCTTTCAAAAGTTGAAACATTCCTACCTCTTGTCCAACAATTCCAATTCTAGGAATTAATACTAAGGTATGTATAAAAGTTTGAGAAAATATACATACAGAAATGTTAGTTACAGCACCATTTATCATAAGTAAAAATTGGAAATAACCTAAATGTCTATTAATAGAGGAATGCTTACATAAATTATGGTACATCCAGGATTATAGTGGAATATCACATGGTCATGACCAAGAATGAGTTAATCCATATGAACTGTCTGAAGAAACTTCTGTACTATACCAAAAAAAGCAAAATAAATACTAATACATATGGTATGACCATTTGTGTCAAAAGACAAACAGATCTAATTTTCTTTATACATAAACAAATAGATATGTACATACATTTTTTAAAAGTTTAGAAGGATGTGACAGAAAGAGTAATTCTAGGGAGACCAACTGAGAAGAATAGAGACTTGCATTCTTATTTACATATGGTCTATAATTTGTACGGTTTTTAATGAAAAACACACATAATTTTATAATTAAAAACAGAGTGAACATGACCTTGAAGATCTAGAATATGTTACACACAACAAATCATGCCTATTTACTTTTTTTACCTATCACTGGCTCAAAATTCCACCTTTAGATGTTGGCTTCTTTTGGGTGCAACTTAAAAATATTCTGATGTATTTTGCATGAAGCAAATATCTTCTCTGAGGCAAAAATCTAGAGTATGGACCAACTTACTTGGATCTCTTTTTAATTCGAATCCTTGGCAGTAAATGGCAGGGATTATCAGAAAATGCTACCCCTAGAGCTTCTCCCTCTGTTGATTAGCAGAAGGGAATGAGGCGGGGTCTGCTCAGAGTGGACCAGCATGTGGATAACATAGGCAACTTGCCCATGCAGAAGATTTTAGGGGCCTCCAAACTATGTCTCCTTGTTGTGAAGTCTAATATTCCCAACATTGTATCCACAGTCCCACAATCTTCTGGAGAATGTGCTTTCTAATTGCACGAAGGCAGCGGTTTTACTACTTGAGAAGTTACATTAGCAAGATGGGTTTGGGGTTGACTGCCAATTTGATTACTTCACTCTCCAGTAATAATACTTTCTTGCCAATGGAGGTCTGAGGGAATGGACCACAGGACCAGTGAGTTTGACAGAGTGAGAGAATCAGGAAGGAGAAAGTTACAGTTGCAGGGAAACACACCAGCCCGGGAAAGTTTTGGTACGTCTGTGTCTGAAACTGGTGGGGTGGGGACGTGTTTTTCCTGAAGACCAAACTTGGAAGACTCCATATATCTTATTTTAAATTTTTACCTATGGTACATGTAGAAGGACTCAAGAGTTCAGAAGATTGGAGAATGGCAAATATTCTTTGTAGCAGTAGGAAATGTTGACCAGGAAGGGGAAAAGGTCCAGCCCCCGTTAAAAGATTCACAGAGACGAATCACCTACAGTATAAGAGATATGGTTAGGTAGAGTTTGACTCTGAACACAGCCCACAAATCTCTGCCTCTCACCAAATATTTCTCACACACGTTTAATGAGAGCCCAATGATAGATGTACAGTTAGGATCCCCATTTTATAGATGAGGGAACTGAGCACAGAGAGGTTAAGTAACTTACTCAAGGTCACATAGATATAAATGGCAAAGCCGGGCTCCAGAGCCCTTGCTGTGGACACAGTGCTTCCTGGCTCTCCCGATATTTGATGACATTTATTTACATCAACAGAGTACCAACAAATAGACAAATCCCATGTCAATTATAATAATGGCCGTCAGTGGCCTTCTCTATGTCCTATAAAAAATGAAAGTGAATCTTGAAGGACAGCAGCATATGGGAAAATATAAATACTTGCCTCCTCATCTCCCTTATCTCAGTGTGACTCAAGGCCTTTTAAAAGCTGATACTTTTATCAAAAAAAAAAAAAAATTACAAGTGTGGTTAAGGATGCGGAGAAATTGGAATCGTTGTGCACTGCTGGTGGGAATGTAAAATGGTGTGGTGGCTGTGGAAAATGATACAGCGATTCCTCAAAAAATTAAACATAGAATTATCATATGGTGCAGCAATTCCACTTATATTTACCCAAAAGAAGAGACAGCAGGGATTTGAACAGATTGCACACTCATATTTACAGAAGCATTATTCACAATAGCCAAAAGGTGGTAACAACCCAAACGTCCATGGATGGATGAATGGATAGACAAAATGTGGTTCAGCCATACAACGGAATATTATTCAGCCTTGTAAAGGAAGGAAATTCTAACACATGCTACAACGTGGATGAACCTTTAGGACATTATGCTAAGTGAAATAAGCCAGTCACAAAAGGATAAGCACTGTATGGTTCTACTTCTATGAGGTCCCTAGAGGAGTCAAACTCATAGAGACAGAAAGAAGGACAGTTGGTGCCAGGGGCTGGGTGGTGGGGAGTTAGTGTTCAATGGAGACAGAGTTTCAGCTGGGGAAGGTGAAAAAGTTCTGGAGATGGATGGTGGTGATGGTTGAACAACACTGTGAATAATGTCCTTAATGCCGCTGAACTGTATGCTTAAAAGTGGTTAAAATGGTAAATTTTAGGTTATGTATATTTTACTACAATAAAAAAGTATCATGAGAAAGTAAATACTTTATAAAGAGCAAAGACATGTTCTATTTATTAAAGGAGTGACACTCTGTGGTTTGGCGACACCATCACTTCCATTGCTAAGTCACGAGTTAGCCATTTACTTTCCCACACTCACACTTGGTCGCGTTGCTGTTTCATATAAAGAGAGATGTGATGGTGGAGATGACAGTACTCAATGTTGTGAGTTATAATTCATTCACTGATACTCAGATGGCCTCAGTTAAAAAAGCCAACAGCACAGAGGCTAGTCAACCACGCTGAAATGTGATGATTCTCATTTATGTCAAAATAAAGGCAACCTGGGCTTACCTCTTTTGTAGGACCATCCAATGACATCGAACCTCTTCCAGAGAAGATGAAATGATTAAACTGACGTGATCCCTGTTAACCTAAATAAAGAGGTAAACTGAGACAAGCTAAAAAAAAAATGAGTTTATTCAGGAATAGCAGAGGAATTGCAATTTGGGGCAAGCATGCCATGGTGAACCATAGGCAAGTCCAAACAGACAAAGGGAAGGTCAGCTTTTAGAGGTTTGAGGAGGAAATTGGGGAGGGTTGTTTTGAATAAAAGTTCCCTGGAGAAGAACAAGAGTTTGAGGCTGTGGCACTTTCTCATTGGCTGCAAGCGGTGGTTAGTGTGTTGTTGCTGGGGCAGGGGGCATCTTTTTTCATTTTCTTCAAAGCAAGAAATGAAATTCCCATGTGAAAAAATGTCCTCCCTTGTACCAGAAGAAAAATAACATTCTTATCATCACAGATAAGAAGTTGAGACCAAGAGAATTTTAAATAAAGAATTCTATACAAAAACAAGAGTATTGGTGGTGAGCATGAAATATTATAATGTACACCTGAAATTTACACAGTGTTATAAACCAATGTGACCTCAATAAAATAAAAATTAAAAAACCAAAGAAGAGGCCCGGCCCCGTGGCTTAGCGGTTAAGTGCGTGCGCTCCACTACAGGCTGCCCGGGTTAGGATCCCGGGCGCGTGCCGACGCACCGCTTCTCCGGCCATGCTGAGGCCGCGTCCCACATACAGCAACTAGAAGGATGTGAAACTATGACATACAACTATCTACTGGGGCTTTGGGGGAAAAAAAAAAAAGACAAAAAAAGAATTCTAAACAAACAGACCTTGTTAAAATAATTCTTATCTAGGGGCCGGTCCCATGGTGTGGTGGTTGGTTTGGCATGTTCTACTTCAGCAACCCAGGTTCACAGGTTCAGATCCCCAGTGCGGACCTACACCGCTTGTCAGCCATGCTGTGGTGGCGACCCACATATGTAGTGGAGGAAGATTGGCACAGATGTTAGCACGGGGCTGATCGTCCTCAAGCAGAACAAAAAAAATTCTTCTTTCTTCCAGCTGGTTATGCAGCTGCAACAAGTGATATGTGTGCGAGAGCTCTCCCTTCAGGGCTTCCTGACTCCACTTTAAATGAGGTTTTCCTTACCCCCAAGAAGTCTCAAGGCTCTCCTTAACCATGGCAAAAAAAATAAACCACAGTGGTTTCCCTCAACAAATAAAAAAAGGCAGGAGGATTTCTCAGAAGTACAAAGAGTAGTAACTGCCAAGTTGCAAGGGAAACAAGTAAGTCAAAACATTCTCATGTTTTGTGAAAATTAATAAACAGAAACCTCATTTAAAATGAAGTTGGGAGGACAGAAGGGGGAGCTCTCATGCCCTGCCACCATGGCAGAGCCCAACAGGAAGAAGAAAGTCTTCCTCTTCTTGACTGGGAAGACGCTCAGCCAATGAGAGACTGGCACAACTCAGCCAATGAAAAGCCACTACATGTCTAACTCGCAGTTCTTCCAATGGACTCTGTTTACAATAGCCCTTCCTAACTTAGTCTTCCCCTCTATAAAAGAGTTTCTCCTCCCCTTGTCGCTCACAACTAGCACGTGGCTTGCTGTGGTTGCAGATCCTGAATTGCAATTCTTTGTTGATCCCGAATAAACAAATTTTTGCTGGAGAAATAATTGGCTGTCTATTTGTTTAAGGTCAATAGTTTCCATGACTACCAGGGCTGGTCAGTGAATTTTGTGGAGTGGGGCACGTGACAAGAGACAATATAAATGATCAGAGTAGTCAAACACCTCTTGAAGAGTTGAGAAGCCTTTCTAGAATAAAAATTTCTTTTTCAAGGTCCTAGGCCAAATAGTCACTGTAATTCATGAGAGTCTTTTTTTTTAAGATTTTTTTATTTATTTATTTTTTCCCCCCAAAGACCCAGTAGATAGTTGTATGTCATAGCTGCACATCCTTCTAGTTACTGTCATGAGAGTCTTAAGTAGGAAAACTGTAAGAATTCCCAGAGCTGATTGAAAGAAAGATGTCCCATGATGAGAGTCAGGGTCAGGCCATCTGGAAGGTGCCCTCCTTAAGTTTCCTTGAACAAGGATCCATGGATAGATATTGACATAAGGCCCTCATATGTGGCTTGAGTTCTGTTTTGTTTTGGTTGCAAAGATCAATTCAATTTCCCCCTCTGTGTTCTTCCTTAAATATGGTTGTCACCTGATTATGCTTAAGATTGTACATTTATACAGTTTTAATTTGATACTTACTGTGGCCAAAATTCTAGAAACTCACACAAAGTAAGCATGTTGTTAAATTGAACCAGCGGTAGAAGTGGGCAGAGAGGAGAGAAAAGGGCAGATGGGGATGGCAAATTGGGAGAAACTTGATGTTGGTGTTATTATTTTTTATCTTCTTTTTATATTACATTTTAGTTGAGGTATAATTTACAAAGTAAAATGTATTAATCTTAAAGAGTGCAGCTCAAGGAATTTTTACATAGGTCCCCCTGTAACCTCCACTCAGATCAAGAGACAGAATATTTGCTGTCTCCCAAAAAGTTTTTCATGCCTCTTGCTAGTCAATAGCCAGCAGTGCCTGCCCCCTGATCCAGAGGTAACCCCTAGTCTGATTTCTCCCACCACAAATTACTTTTGCATATTCTTGAACTTTGTATAAATGGAAACCCACAGTATGTATCCTTGGTGTCTGGTTTCTTTGGCTCAGCATCATATTTTTGAGATTCCCCTGTGTTGCCAAATGTATCATCACTTTGCACATTTTTACTGCTGCATAGCACTCCATCGTGTGGACATACCCATTCTTTCATTGATGAACATTTGGGTTGTCTCCAGGTTGGGCCTATTATTGGGAAGAATTTATTTTATTTATTTTTTTTTTAAAGATTTTATTTTATTTTATTTTTTCCCCCCAAAGCCCCAGCAGATAGTTGTATGTCATAGCTGCACATCCTTCTAGTTGCGGCATGTGGGACTCGGCCTCAGGATGGACGGAGAAGTGGCGCCTCGATGCGCACCCGGGATCCGAACCCCGGGCCGCCAGCATTGCAGCGCGCGCACTTAACCACCAAGCCACAGGGCCGGCCCGGGAAGAATTTATTGATATTAAAAAAATAAGACATATGTTTTTCTCTAGTTTGGTGTTTATGCTCAAGCGGTGGTAGGAAATTTGTGCTTTGTAGAATTAGGTTTCTCACAGAAGTGCCGCCAGTCAGGAGTCTAGATGGGCTTTTGACATTTCACAGAGAAACCATACACACTATTGCTGCTCCCCTGACTTTCTCTGTTGGGCGAGCCACCTTCTTTGAAGAAGAGACAAGAGAACTCTAGGAAAGGCAGACAGATGGAATCTTGTAGGCTCCAAAAGTCTTGCCCTGCTCTCCTAGAGGAAGAGCAAGTGTCCCAAGAAGGATATGTTGAGGACATTGTGGTAATGTGTGGAGTCTCCCATAAGACACCAGTCATGTGAACAGTTAGCTTTAGGAGCAGAAAAATAGCTCTCCAGTAATCAGCGATACTGCTAGTCCTTGCTGTCAGTGTCACGGCAGAGAACTGCTGAGGACTGTGTTAGAAGATCTGGGCTTTCATCACAGCTCCACCCCCTCTGACCAGGGACAAGCCACTTGGAATCTCCAGATTGCAGTCCCTCAGGTGGAAGATGGGAGCCACCTGCCTCTCTGCTACAGGAACACCATGCCTCCCAGTGCTGAAGCCAACCCAGCACATTCTCCAGGGCTGCCAAGGGGCTGCCAGGAAGAGAAAGGCGAAAGATTCACGAGCCAGGAAACGCTCAACCCACTGGGCATTATGACAACTGTTACTTCCTGGTGTTTCCTCAGAGTCCAAGTTGGGACTGAGGAGAAGGCTAGGGAGGAGGAAGGAATCGCCAGCACTGACCTATGCCACCCTCCCTTGCTCTGGGAGTGTGTCACCAGTGACTCCTTCCTTCCTGGTCTCAACAACAAATGTTCTGGCACTTTTCAATTTTCACCCCCTGCCTAAATACCATATGGCACCCCTCCGGTTCCTGGTTATCTTGGAATGATCTCTGTGGGGGAGAAAGAATGAGAGAAATGCCATCAGCCCTTACAGAACCCTCCAGTGTGTGTTGTACCAACAGGAAACACACAGGACACATTCTCTTTGCTTATTCCTGTAAAAAATAAAGTGAGTCCCTTAAAGAATCTTTCCAAAAGGTCCTTCAGAAGGTCTTGAAACTCCTTTTTCCCTTTTCTCCTTTTACCCTGCTCCCCCAAAGCAGACCCTGCCACGGTTATCCTCTCGCCTTTTGTGTCTAAAATCTTTACGACCCATCAGCTTGCTCTCTGTTGAGAATGAAGGCAGAAGAGGGTCAAAGGACCACTGTCCGCAGTCCAAGCCAATTCAGTCACTTCCCCCTGAGAACACCAGGGGGCAGAGGTGCTGCCCCCACCATGGTCCCCATTTCATCCCTGTGAGAGAGTGGGTTCGAGTAAGCCTTCCCGACAAGCATGTCATCTAAGACCTTCCATTTTGCAAGTAGCCTGTGGTTTTGATCCACTCAAATTACACAACTCCTCTTTCAAAGCTCCTATATGTAAGGTTGGCCTTAATTAGAGCAACTATAGGGAAAGATTTCATTGGGAGAAAGGTGATGTTTACCTGGGAATCATTTTACAAGCCATTCTTGTAGTTGCATGGAGAATACATGGGAATCTGTTTAAGGCCAGCCCTGAAGGTCTGAATGGAACTCAGATGGCCATCCAACTCCTTTCAAAGACATGGGAAGGAAGCCAAGAACATTTTAACTAAATGCAAAAGGGTGTGTTTTCCTCCCGGTTCCCAATGCTTGAGAGCTAAAGATATTATGCAATTACGGTCATACGCCGCATAATGGCATTTCAGTCCATGATGGACCACATATACGGCGGTAGTCCCATAAGATTAGTAGCATATAGCCTAGGTGTGTAGTAGGCTATACCATCTAGGTTTGTGTAAGCGCACTCGATGACGTTCGCACAACAACAAAATCACCTAACGACGCATTTCTCAGAATGCGTCCTAGTCGCTAAGCAATGCATGACTGTAATGATCAGCAGGAAAAGGACATTTACTAAAGAGCACTATCAAAATTTTACAAAACCTCCATGAGAAAAGAAGTATCTGTTGCCCACAAATCGGAACACAAAGGCCAAAGGTAAAGGATCTGTTTAACAGTCTAGCAGAGCATCCTGCTCACTTGGGTCCATAGGCAATGTTTTTGGAACACATATTTAAGTAGCTGATAGCCTTATGTCACAGTGGGGAGACACTTTCAAACATTATGCTCTCAAAGACTTAAACAAATATTCTTTGAGAAGGACATTCCATGTTACCCCTTTGATTTCTGTCCTGTGGACTCAATATGACCCCGAGTGTGTGGCTCTGAGATTGAAGTATGTCTAATTTTTAACCTATTAATACCTTATTTTTTCAGTCATTCATTTAGCTTTTTTTAAATTGAGGTAACATTGGTTTATAACATCATATAAATTTCAGGTGTACATCATTATATTTCAATTTCTGTGTAGACTACATCATGTTCACTACCCAAATACTAATTACCATCTATCTCCACATACATGTGCCCTGTCACCCCTTCCCCCCATCCCCACCCCCCTTTCCCTCTGGTAACCACCAATCTAATCTCTGTATCTATGTGTTTGTTTGTTTGTTGTTGTTGTTATCTTCTACCTATGAGTGAAATCATACGGTATTTGTCTTTCTCCATCTGCTTATTTCACTTAGCATAACACCCTCAAGTTCCATCCATGTTGTTGCAAACAGCCTCAAGATTTCATCTGTTTTATAGCTGAGTAGTATTCCATTATGTGTGCGTGTGTATATATATACCACATCTTCTTTATCCCTTTATCCGCTGATGGGCACTCAGGTTGTTTCCAAGTCTTGGCTATTGTGAATAGTGCTGCAATGAACATAGGAGTGAAAATATCTTTACGCGTTCATGTTTTCGTGTTCTTTGGATAAATACTCAGAAGTGGAATAGCTGGATCATATGGTAGTTCTACTCTTAATTTTTTGAGAAATCTCCATACTGTTTTCCATAGTGGCTGCACCAGCTTGCACTCCCACCAGCAGTGTACGAGGGTTCCCTTTTCTCCACATCCTCTCCAACATTCATTATTTCTTGTCTTGTTTATTATAGCCATTCTGCTGGGTGTGAGATGATATCTCATTGCAGTTTTGATTTGCATTTCCTTAATAATTAGTGATGTTGAATATCTTTTCATGTGCCTGTTGGCCACCTGTATATCCTCTTTGGAAAAATGTCTGTTCAGATCCTCTGCCAATTTTTTTAATTGGGTTTGTTTTTTTTGTTGTTGATCATTCCTTTAGTTTTGATGGGGTCCTTTTTTTTTTTTTTTTTTTGAGGAAGATCAGCCCTGAGCTAACATCCATGGCAATCCTCCTCTTTTTGCTGAGGAAGACCGGCCCTGAGCTAACATCTATTGCCAATCCTCCTCCTTTTTTTCCCCCCTTTTCTCCCCAAAGCCCCAGTAGATAGTTGTATGTCATAGTTGCACATCCTTCTAGTTGCTGTATGTGGGACAACCCCTCAGCATGGCCAGAGAAGCTTTACAATGTATTCTTTTGACAAGGCTGTAAGGAAGCAGACATTCTCATAGATTGCTCATGAGAGTACAAAATGGATCATCCCTATAGTAGAAGACTTAGCTATGTATATAAATATATATATCTATATATTGTGTGTGTGAGGAAGATCAGCCCTGAGCTAACATCTGATACCAATCCTCCTCTTTTTTGCCTAGGAAGATTGGCCCTGGGCTAACATCGCACATCTTCCTCTACTTTATATGGGACGCCGCCACAGCATGGCCTGACAAGCGGTGTACTCATGCACGCCCAGGATCCGAACCTGCGAAATCCCAGGCCGCCGAAGGGGAGCATGAGCACTTAACCGCTACACCATTGGGCTGGCCCCCAGCAATATATATTTTTAAATTACACATGCCTTGACCCTTTGCTCCAGGAGTCCTAGGAATCCATCCTAAAGATACACTGGCAAAAATACAAAAAGATGTATGCACAAAGTTATAATACATACATACATACACACCTAACTGGTTGAATAAACTAGGATACATCCACACAATGAATACTATACAGACATAAAAACAATGAGAAAGAGCTCAACACACTGAAATAGAGTGCTTGGCAAGAATTTATTGTCAGGTGACAAAAGCAAGGTGCCAAATATTATGTATACTATGATTGTATTTTGTAAGGGATGGAATAAATATGAACACACACTCTTATATTCACAAAAGAAAACACTAGAAAATAAACAAAAAATTTAAAAATTACCTAAGATGAGAGAGAATAGAATGGGGATAGGAACAGAAATTTATTCAGACTATTTCTGAATAAACCTGGTTAAATAACTTTGACTTTGAAATTATGTAAATATTTCACATATTCAAAAACTAAAACTGTCAAAAACGCAAAAGTAATCCCTAAAAATAGAAAACAAGAGGAAATGAATAAACTTAATTGCTTACCAAGTTAGTGATATAACCATACAACCATCATTAGTGGTTAAGAGTATAACCATCATTACATCAAAAAACTTTAGAATGCAGCATTTTGAACATATATACCTAACACAATACATTTTAGAGATAAACAAGGCTTTAAAGAAACCTTAAACTTTATTCAGTCTTATGGCTAATAATGATATTAGTAATATTATTTTTAAAATTTTATATATCATAGAATAAAGCAAAAAAAATATGTTAATATTGTTGGGTTTTCAATCTGGCAGAAAGAAATGCAATATAGGGGCCGCCCCATGGCTTAGCGGTTAAGTGCATGCGCTCCGCTGCTGGCGGCCCAGGTTCGGATCCCGGGCGTGCACCGACACACTGCTTATCCGGCCATGCTGAGGCCGTGTCCCACATACAGCAACTAGAAGGATGTGCAGCTATGACATACAACTATCTACTGGGGCTTTGGGGGGAAAATAAATAAAAAAATAAATAAAAAATTATAAAGAACCACTGGTATAAAAGACAATTAGATGTACAGTAAATAAATATGCGTTAATTTCAACATCTCTCTCTAACATTTGATGAATGTAGTTGTTAACTGTATTGTTGATATGTCCTTCTCTCTACTATTTTGTTCTTTAGGAAAATCATTTTCATAGAATGAATTTTATTGATAAAGTGAAGAGCTGTTTGAGGTAAATAGTATGTTATGATTGTCTTGAATAAAGTTTTTTTTTTAATCTTAATACCAATAGAGACATGTCAAAGGATACATGTCCCTGTGGCTCCATTTCCAAGGATGGGTCAATTTGATCATGAAAGGAATAATGAATGCAATTGAGTGAAACACTTTGCATATATAGAAATCCACGAGTTACCGTTAAAAACTTTTATGAAACAAGTAGGGAAATTTGAAAAGTTATTGTTAACTATTTTTGGTGTGATAATGACAATGTGGTTATGTTAAAAAAAAAAAAAAGGAGTCCTTACCTTTTAGAAATGCATACTGAAGTATTTATGCATAAAATAATATATTACCAGGGATTTATTACAAAATAATCCAAGGCTGGGGTTGGTGAGAGTCAGTGAGGGTAGAGATGAAACATGATTGGTCACATATTGATAATTCTTGAAGATAAGATAATTGTCTGTCTACTTTTGAATGTATCTGAAAATTTCCATAATAAAAACATGGAAACAAGGGCCAGCCCCAGTGGCCTAGTGGTTAAGGTTGGTGCACTCTGCTTCAGCAGCCCAGGTTCAGTTCCTGGGCACGGACCCAAACCACTCGTCTGTCAGTGGCCATGCTGTGGCAGCAGCTCACATAAAAAAAAAAAGAGGAAGATTGGCAGCAGTTGTTAACTCAGGGTGAATCTTCTCCAGCAAGAATACCCACAAAAACAAATAAAAAAACCCATGGAAACAATCTCATGAGTTCATACTCAAGAGTTGAGTTGACACTCAAAAAAGAAAAAGACAGAAAGGAAAATTGACATAGTACAATTTTTAAAAAATACACTGGTCAACACCAAAGGTAATTAGGGCATACTCTAAAAATTTAACAAGCAGAGGGAAAAAATGAAGCATTTACCTTGCCTTTTTTTTTTTTTAATTTTAATTTTTATTTATTTTACTTTTTCCCCCAAAGCCCCAGTAGACAGTTGTATGTCATAGCTACACATCCTTCTAGTTGCTGTATGTGGGACGCGGCCTCAGCATGGCTGGAGAAACAGTGTGTCTGTGTGCGCCCGGGATCCGAACCCCGGGCCGCCAGCAGCAGAGCACACACACTTAACCGCTAAGCCACGGGGCCGGCCCTACATTGCCTTTTTTGTATGAGGTGAATTTTAGAGTAACCAAGTAGCCATACTTGATGAGGGAAAGTTCTTCTTTACAAAAGCATCCCAGCTTATAAATCTGCCAAGAATGTTCACCACTTGTAATCCTTAGGGCAATAATTGATTCAAACAAGGACCATCAATAGGTGAAACCGTTAGGTGGAAGTTTGATGAAATTTACAAGAGGGATCAGGCTTTCCCCTGGTGGATCCACCCATTAATCTTAGCCTCACTAAAAAGGACAATTACCACGTGCCACTTGGTATAATGTACTCAGTGTGAAGTACAGGGCACCACCTTTGAAACACTCTTCCTCAAAGAGTTGACCCAGAATCTAATCCAGCCTCGGAGATAACAAAGTTAATGATAGGACAATCGGCCCACTGTCTTCAGCAAATCAAAACCATTTTTTAAAAAAAACGGCAGAGGGGGTGCGGTAGGGAGAGTGCTTTCAATTAAGACTTAAGAGGCAGAATGAGCACCTTGTGTGGAAAAAATAAAACTGTATATTTTTGAGGCGTTAAAAAATTCTAAGTATTTGATGATAACAAGGAATAATTGTTAATTTTTTTTAGGTATAATATGAGTTTGCAAGGAAATGTCCATTTTTTAGAGAGTAACATTGAAGTATGTAGGGATGAATGGACATGATATCTGGGTTTGCTTTAAAATCCTTTGGGAGGGCCGGCCCCGTGGCTTAGCGGTTAAGTGCGCGGGCTCTGCTGCTGGCGGCCTGGGTTCGGATTCCGGGTGTGCACCGACGCACTGCTTCTCCGGCCATGCTGAGGCTGCGTCCCACATACAGCAATTAGAAGGATGTGCAACTATGACATACAACTATCTACTGGGGCTTTGGAGGAAAAATAAATAAATAAAATTATTTTTAAAAAATCCTTTGGGAAAAGAAAAATAGTTTAATAGGGGAGAAAGAAAGGAGAGAGAAAGCTAATATGGCAGAATCTTGATAATTGTTGAGTCTGGTAATGTATGTGGGGGACTTCCTTATATTATTCCCTCTATTTTTGCACATTTTGAAAAGTTTTATGATAGAGAGATGTTATTACAGTGCTATAGGAAATCAGGTTGGTTGCATTTAGCAGAAGTTTAAGAGGGAGATGTGAGAATCTCAGATACTCTTATTTCCATACAGTAGATCTATTGTTTATTGTTTAGGTTATTTATCCAATAATAGTTAAAACCCAGATCCAATAAAACCAACAGGCAGGTGGGCAAAACTTTTTTTTTTAATGAAAATTCTTTAATTCAACCAACCAATCAATGAACCAAACTCAGATGCAGAAGGAAACAGTTGGCTCTTTCTGTCCAAAACCTTTGCCATGGTCGTGAGTCCTTGGAAATATTTGATAGAGCATCCTGGAATACTTCCCACAAACTCCTGGTAATCTTGGCTGTGCAAAGCCAGTGCAACCAGGAATTTTATATTTCTGAAACTTCAGGATGCGGTTGGCTCTCCAGGGGTAATTTATAAGAGAGGAAAAACGACCCATTTAACAACATCATGAAGGCAGCCAGACATGCCACTGTAACAGCACTGCCAATTTCCTGAGTATCTGGCTTGAAGGGCATACAGAAAGGTGGCGGGAAGGCGATACCCTCCTCATTCATCACCGAGTAGTAATTCCAGATCACAGCTATGGAGATACAGACACCAGCAGCTATGTTCAGAATTCCTGAAGCAACAAATGCAGTGCAGGTAACATTCTTCCAAAGAATTCCCACGTACACATTCCTAAGTGCAAAGGTGGTGGAGACTTTCCCCAAGAGCCCTAGAACGCTGGCAACCAGCAGGAGGTTTTGAGCAACACGAATGTCAACAGGGAGGTAAGTATTGTGGTAGGTGTAACGGTGACACGATGTGGCTCTGTTGAAGTTGCCGGCACGGTGGTAAATGCAGACTTTCCACATTCCCACGCAGGCCAGGCCCGAGGGGAAGAGGGAGGTGTTATCCATGTACCACACTCGCCACTCCACGAGGCCCATGCAAATGGTAGAGAGGATCCATCCTACAGTGGCTACAGCGAAACCTGCTACTTGGCAATTGGCACTATTGATGAGCAGGATCATGGTGGCCAGGTACTCAGGGGAACTGCAAACAAATACAGGACGTCACGAGGGTGCGACCCTTGGGCCTGGAACAGCCCCCTGTGGGTGAGCAGTGCCATGTTTGAGAGAGAAGTCCTATATTTGAGAGTGGAGACATTTGACCCTCACGCTCTGCTGGTTGGAGCAGTGACTGAGCAAACTTTGTGAAGGGCCATTTGGCGATATTTACTGAAAGCCTTAAAACGCACAAACGTTTAGACAGGCGGTTCCACTTCTGGGCATTTGTCCAAAGACATAATTAAGATTGGCCACAAATATTTAGTCACAAAGATGGTCATCACAGCACTGTTTGTCATGTTGAAAAATGGGAAACCACGTCATGTCCAGCAATAGGGCATGGTTAAATAAATTATGCTATATCCATGCAATGGAGCTATACACCAACACTAAAAATATAACTAGAATTGTACAAGGTGTAATATTTTGTGTTTGGCTCTTTTTGCCTGGCATCATGTTTTCAAGGTTCATCCATGTTGTAGCATGTGTGAGTAGTCTGTTCCTTTTCATTGCAGAGTAGTAGTCAATCACACGGATTGAACTGAACCACGGTTTGTTTATTCATTCATCAGTTTTTGGACATTTGGATTGTTCCCAGTTTTGGTTATTATGAATTTTTAATAATTCATAATATTAATTTGTTATGTATTATAATACATATTAAATGTATTATAATTTACATGTATATGTAATTATACATATAAATTACATGTATATGTAATTTACTGCTTTAAACATCTGTACGTAAAACTTTGTAGGGGCACAAGTTCTCATTTCTCTCATGTAGATATCTAGCCCCGAGATTAGTGGGTCGTATGGTAAGGGCATGTTTAACATTTCAGCAAGCGCTAAACTGTTTCCCCAAGTGGCTGCACCATTTTACATCCCCACCGGCAATGTATGAAGGTTCCAGTTTCTCCATATCTTCTCCAACCTTTGGCGTTTTTAGGTTTTTTTTTATTATAGCCATTCTAATTGCCATTGAAACATAATGTGACCAAAAGGAAGATGTTCACAAGAATTGAAGTACAAACAGCAAGTTACAAAACAGTACATGCAATATAGTCATGAATATGAATAGAACTGGAAGTCTAGATGCCACGTTAGTGAGAGACGTTTTTAACTGGGTTAGAGGGATTCTGAGTTTTTAAAGCTATTTGTATCATGAAGAATCACATACATATAGAGAAGCGCACATAATCTAAGTGTTCAGCTCAATGAATATCACAGGGCAAATACCCAGGGAGCCACTGCTCAATTTAAGATATACAATATCACCACTTCCTCGTCTTTATTGTTTTCCACCTCAGCATGCAGCCCCACATATCCTAGTTCAATCCTGCCTGTTTTGCAAAATAGGAACCATGCAGTAGGCATTATTGTGGGTCTGGCTTCTTTCACTCAACATGGCGATTCTAACCTCAGATTACGATTTTTTTAAAATGACATCTGGCTGTTCACTATTTTCATATATTTCTGTCATGAGCATGATTTTCTGAAATAAGAAAAATAAGACTTCACAAAGGTTGTGAAGCAATGGAAGATTAATTCTAGTACATAAATACACCATAATATCTAGAAGGTATTAAAGTAATTCATTCACTGTAATACTTAGCAGATATAAAAGTAGAAGAATATTTAGTAACATGGGAAAATGTCCACAGTGGGTTGAATTTAAAATGCAGATAATAAAACTGTAAGGATGTAGTATGATCTTATTTTGCCCATCATAAAATATGCTGGAAAGACACAAAACAAGATGCATCTGATTATTGGGATTGCTAGTGATTTTTCTTTTCTTTTTACGTTTTAAGGTGAAAGTCTATTATTTTGTTGTTGTTGTTGTCATTGGGGAAGATTTGCCCCGAGCTAACATCTGTTGCCAATCCTCCTCTTTTTGCTTGAGGAAGATTTGCCCAAGCTAAGACGTGTGCCAATCTTCCTCAATTTTGTATGTGGGTCGCTGCCACAGCATGGCTGACAAGTGGTGTAGGTCTGAGCCCGGGATCCAAACCCAGGCCGCCAAACTGGAGCACCCAAACTCAACCACTATGCCACAGGGCTGGCCCCTATTACTTATTTAATTATAGAGAAATGGGGGCACAGAGATACAAGCATAGAAATGGATAAAGAGTGAGGCAGAGTGGATGCTGAAGCCAGTTCATGGAGAGCATTGTGGGATCCAGACTTAATTATGGGGGGTCCCAGGTGGGAGGGAGGGCCATGGCAAGGGATTTTTCCAGACTGACACCAGAAATCCCTTCTCATGGCCAGAACATTCCTAGCAGATGTCATATTTATAAAGATCATTCTTTTTGGCCAGATAATCCTGAACAAATTTTGAAGGAACAATTTAAATGGCACATTGGCAGGAATCAGGCAGTGGGGTTGAGAGAGTTAATTGGCTGTGAGTGTTTCTTTTGAGATGACAGTCGATCTGCCAGTTGGGAGCTGGCTGCCGGAGCATGTGGGCTGGCAGGAAGAACTGAAATGTTCAAGGTAACTGAATGTGTTGTTAAAGGGGGACATTCAAGTGTGTGAAAGAGACGGCACGTCACCTCAGCTGGCACAGAGTTACAGGTTGGCTCACTCTGTTGCCACGGGGCATGGGACACTTCAAGCCCACCCACCTTTAGTATGCTACGTTCTTGAGAATAATGCTTTGAAGGACACGAAAATTAATAAGTGAAAGTCGTGGGTGCCCTCTGACATCACAGGGAGGGGCCAGGCATGGGGAACACAGAGCTTGTCCTAAGGGTAAGCAGTTCTTTGGTGCCAGCAAAGTCACATTAGAGAAGTCATTTTGTCCTCAACTCAAATCAGTGGATTCTTCAAAACAGCTTTGCATTCCAGCCCCAGTCCTCTTGCTGAAAAACCCAATGGAATAAGAACTTACAGTGACTTGTGTCTGCCGAGTGAGGCGGTTTTCTCAGAGGGAAGGGGGGCGGAGGCAGTCGGCAGGGGATGGGTTGTGTCAATGCACGCCCAGACTGCGAGCTGGAACAGAAAAAACGGAAGACTGGAGATGCTGCAGAGAAAGTGGTAGCATAAATTACCAAGTCCACGTTTAAAAATTTTTTTGATAACTATATTTCCAAATAATTGTAATTCTGGGCATGTTAAAAATGCATTTTAAAATATTTTTTTCTGGGAAGAGATTCATAGACTTCACTACCAGTTAAAGAGGTTCGTGCACAAGAGGTGAAGTTCCACATGCCCAGGTTGGCAGGTTGCATGGCAGAGAATCGCCTGTAGGGGGCAACAGTGGGACCAGGAAAACCAACCATGAGGCTGCTGTAATGATCAAGGTTAGAGACCAGTACACACACACACACACACACACACACACACACACGCTTGTACTGAAGTAGGAAGATCCTTCACTGCCCGTAAATGCTACAGAACAATGTGTATTTCATAGTCTCCTTGTAAATATGAAAAGATGTATCTAGTTTCCACGCATATAGATATGTATGGAACATTCTAGAAGGGCAGTACCTGGAACCACTAAAGGCAGTCTCTGGCTATGGAATGGGAGGGCAAGGCTCCATCCACAGGAAGTCTTTGGGCATTCCTTATTTACCATTCATGTGGGGTT